GGAAGCAAAATTTTGCGAACGGTGCTGTTCGTGACCCAAATTGGTCGTGAACAGAAGCGTTCGTGACCCGAGGTACCACTGTACATCTTGGTGACAAAAAGAAAATAGGTTTAGTGTGTGAAGAAAGAAAGAGGGGGAGAGGTAGCCAGCAGGGGACCTCAGGGTTCTGTCCTGGGCCCAGTGCTCTTCAACATTTCTGTAAATGACTTAGATGAGGAGAGAGAAGGGGTGCTTGCAGATGACACAAAGTTGGAAGGGGATTTATAGGATCTCAGAAGACAGGCTCAAAGTTCAAAGGCCTTTTTAGACTTGAACACTGGGCCTTTTTCAACAAAATGAAGTTCAGTTGTAAGAAGTGTAGAATTCTCCACTTAGATGGGAGAAGTCAGATGAGCAAGCACTAATAGGCAGTACCTGGCTTGGCAGTAGTGCTCATGAGAAAAATCTTAGTATCCTGGTAGACCATAGATTAAGAATAAGCCAGCAGTGCATTGCAGCTACCAAAATAGCCAATGTAATCTTGGTCTTATCAACAGAGGTATAATGTTGAGATTATACAAAGTGATAGTTCTGCTCTAGGCTGCACTGGTCAGGCTGCACCTGGAGTACTGTGTCTAGTTTTGGTCGCCACAGTACAGGAAGGATGCTGAGGAACTGGAAAGAGGGCTGAGAAGAGAACAAAGAGGGTGAGGGCTTGGAGATGAGATTTTATGGAGCAACGTTAAAAGAACTGGGTATGTTTTGCTTGAAGAAGAGAAGGCTAAGGGGAGATCTAACTGATTGATATAATTGATTTAGATTGCTGCCCCTCTAACCACGGCAATTCTGGACAGCAGAGTTTAAGTAGAAATCATAACATAAAGCTATTAAAACAAATAATTTAAAAAAGCATCTGAGAATAAAAACAGTATAAGATAATATCAACCTACCCAGGCTTTACTAACTTCATGACTCCCATGCCTGGGCAAACAACCAGGTTTCAAGGCTTTCCAGAAGGCCAGCAGGGTCGGGGCCGGTCTGATCTCAGTTGGTAAGATAGTGTGACAGAAAAATCATACTTCTCAGATTATACCTAGAACCCTGCCGGGAGCCAGCACTGCTCGTGTAGCCAAGGTGTAACATGGATAAAATAAGAAACACCCATAATTGTCCATGCCACTGCATTCTGGACCAATTGCAGCTTCTGGATGCTCTTCAGGGGCAGCCCCATATAGAGTGCATTGCAGTAGTTTCATGAGAGGTGACCAGGGTGTGAGTGACCATAAGCAGGGCCTTCCACTCCAGGAAAGGACACAATGGTGCACAACATGAAGCAGGAGCTGTGAGCCCAGGAAGATCTCCAAATTGTGCATCAGTTCTGTCGTAGTGCAACCCCATTCACCATTAAAGAGTGAATTCCCCATCACTGGACGGTGGTGGGGATTCTAAAACCCATAGCTCAGACTTGCTAAGGTTGGGCTAAAGCCCCGACCCTTACCCCCACAGTCTCCAGACACCAGGGCAAGACCTCCAAGACCTCTGCCTCTGCTTGGGGCAGAGATGTAGAACTGAATATCATCTAGGTACTAATGATACCTCACCCCCTGCTGGGGAATAACCTCACCCAGGAGTTTCACGTAGATGTTAAATAGGAGTTGAGCCCTGTGGCACCCCACAGTGCTAGAGCTGCAGGCTAAACCTCTTCCCTCTTATCAACACCAACTGGAACGTACCCTAGAGGAAGGAGGACAACCAGCACAAAACTGTGTAGTCTTTGAGTCCTTGTCATAGGGAAGAGGGCATGGATTTATTCCAACCAGTTGGTGGAAGCTTTATAGAGAGAGATCTAAATTCATGATAAGGAGAGATTTCCTGACTGTGAGGGCTGTTAAGCAGTGAAACAGCCTACCTCCTGGACTCAGAGAAGGCTCCACCACTGCAGATTCAAACAAAAGGTGGACAGCCATTTGTCCAGGTTGATCTGAGGATTCCTGCCCTGGGCAGGAGGTTGGGCTAGAAGATCTCCAAGTTCCCTTCCCACCCTAGGATTTTGTGAAATTCAGTTTCATATTTTAGGTAGTAACTGATGGAATTCTGCTTTTTCTATGTCATCTTTTTGTAGGACTCCTGTTCTCATAGCCTTGAGTTAAGTTATGTTGTTGAAACAACCATGGCTTCCTATAGGGACAGGCAGCTCACGAGCTGGAAGATCTTTCACTTCAAGCAAATTTGGCAGTTTCAGAGCTTAATGATTTGCTTTTCAGGGGATTGTTCTAGAAAAACTATGATTAATTTAAAAAAGGAGTCTCTGATCACATTGGAAAAGCGAGGAGAACAAATGTGACATGGCAGCTTTGAGCCCTGGCTGTTCAGCAGGGGATGGGAAAAGGTGGCTGGGTCTTGAGAGCAGGACAAGGTCTGGACAGCTTTGATACTGAACTTCTGGTGCTGCCACTCTCCTTTTTCAGCACTTCCTCTCTTTACCTGCAGGTGCCATTGAGAAACAGAAGCTTGTGTACATTCTGAACAGAGATGCTGCAGCTCGGCTCACCATTTCTTCTCCATTAGAAGCCCACAAGGCCAACACCTTGGTTTATCATGTGGTTGGAGTCGATGTTGGGTTTGAAAACCCCATGTTTGCTTGCCTGGAAATGGATTATGAGGTAGTATCTCTCCCTAATGATTCCTCATTTATCCTCTTGATGTTGTTAAAATGTAACAGTCATTTATTATTAATAGGTTAAATATGAAGGTGTTTGCTTACTCCATTCTGTGGCACCTGCTGCCTGTTTTATTGTCTCCTTATTGCAATAAGATAACTAGATTTGTGTTAGATCGGCTTGTTGAGATTGTTAGTGGTGGTGGTCAGCTTGTAGTTGTGAAACTGCTGCAACAATAGTATATTCTTTAGGGCAAGGAACAAGTGTGTTAGAGGAGCTCATAGCGTGTGCTTTGAGGCTGGCAGGTGTGTGTATCCAGCTTTGAATTGCTGGGTATAGGATTGTGGGATGGTGGTGGTGACTTTCAAGGAGAATCTCTGAAACCCCAGTGCCTCTGTCCCACCAGTTTTGGTGGTAGCAGCAGCGGCTATTGGAGTGAGAGTGGTCAGCTTAATAAAAGTGTCATCCTGATGTGCAGGATTCTTTGCTGGGACTGTTAAGGAAAGAATTGAATAACATAATTGCTGACATTATAAGGTCCACATATCTCTTTATCTTTCTATCTCTGGTGAGGCTCTATCCTTGGAGTATCGGTCACTTTTTTTTTTTTGGTGCCTTTGAGTCATTGTTGACTCCTGGCAATTGCCTGGATGGGTCCCTGAAGTTCTCTTGGCAAGGTTCTTTGGAAGTGGTTTGCCATTGCCTGCTTCCTAGAGAAAGGACTGGCCCGAGGTCACCCGGCTGGCTTCGTGCCTCAGGTGGGACTAGAACTCAGGGTCTGCCGGTTCCTAGCCTGGAGCCTTAACCACTGCACCAAGCTACCTCTTGATATTATAGGGCTTGAAAAGGGCAGCTCACCTACAAGGAAGGGGCACCATAAGTGAGGCTTTTAGCTTGTAACAAAGGAAGTGAAATCCTGAAAGGCAGGGATCATAAGGGGAGAGAAGGTTTTTTTCCTTCTCTCAGTGTTAGAACTTGGGGTCAGCCACTAAAACTAATGGTGGGCAAATTTGTATTCAGGAAATATTTTCTGACACAGAAACAGTAAATTACTTGTCTGCGGTTGTGATAATGGGGCCAAATTAGATGGTTTAGAAGGATGGAGAAGCTCATGGGGAATGGGGCTTTCAGTGTAGCTACTGTCCTTGATGGCTGTTTCCTGCATCTTGACTCAGCAGCAGCAGGTCTGAAATGCCAGTTCCTGGGAAGCCTCTGAAAGAGGTCCCTGCTCTGCAGTCCAGGCTTGTGCGACATAACCTTGGGCCGGATGAGCCTCTGTCCTGATCCCTCTTTGGAGCCCTTGCGCTCTTGTGGTGCAGCAAACGTCTGGTTGCTTCCCTGGGGATACTTGTTCTAGACCCCTTGAATCAACCTCCAAGTGGCTGGGCTCTACAGTGGCTTTCGTGGAACTTGTGCCTTTGGGAATGTATGTTACTGAGCTTTGCAGCACAGATAAGCACCCTGTAGTCTGAGTTAGTCCATTTTTACAGTTGATTGCAAAAACCTCTGAATGTGCCTTCTATTAGAAGTTTCCTCGTTGGGTTATACCTTTAGAAAGCATAAGATACCTTCTCAAAAAACATTGCTGATTTCACATGGTACATAAATGGTATTGTTTTCCTTAGGAAGCTGACAACGATCCCACTGGTGAAGCTGCAGCAAACACACAGCAGACTTTAACATTTTACGAGTTAGATTTAGGTTTGAACCATGTGGTCAGGAAATACAGTGAACCGTTGGAAGAGCATGGAAATTTTCTTATAACAGGTACCCTCTTTTTCAATCCTTGTAGGAAAAAGGCATTTGTACATAGAATTAATAAACCTAGAGAAAAGAATCTTTGATAGAATTTTAGTAGTGTCATTTCATCTTCTAGCAAACAAATTGTCTGCAATCGGTCTTCCATTCTGAAACCTTTAAGCAGTTTAAAGTCTCTGTCTTGAGAAGTTGCTAAGCTGCTTCAGAAACTTTTTTCAGCCTCTGAGTACTTCTCTGCCTCCTTTTTGCCTGTACACTTCCTTGCTGTGATTCATATTTCTGGTACCCCAGGCCTTAACATGCACCTCTCATAATGATAGGTGACAACCTGGTTGGGGGGCCAGTGTACACTTGAAGGGACAGATGTAGCCCTATGAAAGTTTGGCATTGAATCCTTTTGTAGGATTTAAATAATGTTGTCAGAAGGAAGAATTTTCTCCTTCCCTTTTTACATAAAGATAAAAATATGAACTTAGCTGCTTTTGTTCTTTAACATGGCCATGTTCTTTAGTTCCTGGAGGCTCTGATGGTCCCAGTGGGGTGCTGATTTGCTCTGAAAACTACATTACCTACAAAAACTTTGGTGACCAACCAGATATTCGATGTCCAATTCCCAGGAGAAGGGTAAGTATCTTACAACCTTTACTGTTCTGAAAAAATAAAGTTTCCTGAGTATCTAAAAATCATCCAGATGCACTCCTAGACCCCATTTCTGCAGTCCTTGGAGGAAAAGGAGAATGGTAGGAAATAGGTAGGAAAAACATAAGGGCTATAGTCCAAGCCCCAAAATAGTCACAATTGTTTTTTAAAAACCAAAAGCCCCAGATTTCTCCCCAAACAAGGAAAACAATAGAAAATCTTGGCCCTGATGATGTGCATAATACACCTCTGCCCTCTGAGTCTTTACTAAGCTCACATGTGTTCAATGTGGGTCCCTGCTGAGGGAGAGAGCTCCCTCAAATCTCCCCTTAATGAGGTACTTGGCAGGCTCTCCCCTGCCCCCCCATCAACATCATATTAATTATCTTTCTGGCATGCAAGTAAATATGACTATGTTTTTACAGAACATCCAGACTGTAATTTTTAGGTTTAGAGTTTTCAGTTTGTTTTGGGTTAGGGTTAGGGTTCAGTTCAGTTCAGGCTTTGTTTTTGCTGCTACTCTTGCTGTTTGACCTTTTAAATGCACTTGCTCCTTTACTGTGAGTTGTTCTAGAGTGCCCAGGTATGAGGTGATAAAAGTATTTTAATTATGTGGGGATTATTAGTGGGGGAGGGGGGAATCCTGGGAAAGAGGAAGTTGAAGGATGGTGCAGCAAAAGTGTTTCCAGGAGGCTAAACTGGAGGATTTGTTGAAAGACTTGAAAAGGAAGGGAACTGGTATAAATCACGGTGCGAGAGAGAATGCAGAAGAGCATGGCAGGGAAGCATCAGGAGGAGGTGAACTTGAGAACAAAAGCTGGGGAGGCTTTCTAGATATGGATAAGCTGAATACTACAAAGATGTCTTTCTCAAAAATGCTCTCCATCCGTTGGAATGGAGTGAGTGCACCAAAAGACATGGTAAAATTAACACGGAAGAGCTAACAGGACTTGGTAACTGAAGAACATGGGAGAAAAAGAAGCAAAGACTTCAGAGATGAGTGGGGAAAGAGAAACGGCATTTTGAGGTAATGGTAGGGAAATACTGGGAACGAGGCTTTGATAGAGAGAACATACAAAGCTATCCGTGAAGCTATCCAGTTGGAGAACGAGGAAGAGAGCTGATCAGAGGGCACTGTTGCATGCCTTTGGGGAACCTGGAGAGAGCACGTCGAGAGACTACATACGTATAAGATCCAGTGCTCTCCTTCATCAAGGATGGTTCCTAGCCCTTTTTCCTCTAGTTGATTCCTAGCTGGTGCTCTTTTTGCTTTTGAGGGACTTCAAACAGAAATACAGACTGATGTTATTTGATACTATTGAAAAGGTGGCTTTGGTTGCACTAGGCCAGCCTTTGTTTTTCAGCTACTGACTTGCTTCTCTTGTTGACAGAATGACTTGGATGACCCTGAGAGAGGCATGATCTTTGTCTGTTCTGCTACACACAAGACCAAGTCAATGTTTTTTTTCTTAGCTCAAACAGAGCAGGGTGATATTTTCAAAATCACCTTGGAGACTGATGAGGACATGGTAAGTCTGACCACATTTAATTTGAAAGAGAGACCTAAAACCACCAGTATTGTCTCATGCAGAAATGCCTTTCTGTTGGCTTCAGGTCACAGAAATTCGACTGAAGTACTTTGACACTGTTCCTGTAGCTGCAGCCATGTGTGTGCTGAAAACAGGCTTTCTCTTTGTGGCTTCTGAGTTTGGAAACCAGTAAGTAAAACCTCCAGTTTCCTTTTCAAAGCAAGAGTTGGGCATAGAAATGCTTCTGGCTGGCATCCAGGCCCATCTTTTCCCTGTCTGGGGATCGTTCAGTTACAGATTGTCATGGAAAGACAGTCTGCTGAGAAAGGCGACTCGTGAGCCGTTAGTTTCTCGCCTCCCTTGACTTGAAGCTCCTCTTCTTGCTTGTCATAAGGAAGTGCTGGCAGGTCCCTGCTAAGAAGTTCCCCTCTTCTGCTTGCAGCTACCTCTACCAGATTGCTCACCTTGGAGACGATGACGATGAGCCTGAGTTCTCCTCTGCGATGCCTCTGGAGGAGGGGGACACGTTCTTCTTCCAGCCCCGGCCCCTTAAAAACCTGGTATTGGTGGACGAGCTGGACAGTCTGTCTCCGATTTTGTCCTGTCAGGTATGTTGCTCTTTCACGTGGACCTTCCCTTCCCCTGCCGTGGGGCAAGTGGCGGTGCAGAGTTAGCTCTGGCAGGAGTGAGTGGGGCTGTGGCTTCGGATGAGAAGTGCCGGGCAGGCCAGCCTGTGTGCTGCTTTTCCCCCAAGAAATTCCCCCCCTGCACTACCGCTCTGTTCCTTACTGAGGGGGTCAAAGGATTAATACGTTTTCAAGATGACCAGTTCTGTGTTTGATATACAGTGATACCTCGGGATACGAACGCCTCTGCTTGCGATTTTTGCGGGTAACGACCAGCTCTGGCCCCAAAATTTTAGCTCAGTTGGCGAACTCCGCCGCGGGGTAAGAGCCATTTTCCGCCCGTGCCACGTGGTCCGCGGCCATCGACCAAATTCGGACGGAGGGCGGAACGGATTAACCGGATTTACATTGAACCCTATGGGGAAATTTCCTTCGGGTTACCGACCAAATTCGGACGGAGGGCGGAACGGATTAACCGGATTTACATTGAACCCTATGGGGAAATTTCCTTCGGGTTACCGACCAAATTCGGACGGAGGGCGGAACGGATTAACCGGATTTACATTGAACCCTATGGGGAAATTTCCTTCGGGTTACCGACCAAATTCGGACGGAGGGCGGAACGGATTAACCGGATTTACATTGAACCCTATGGGGAAATTTCCTTCGGGTTACCGACCAAATTCGGACGGAGGGCGGAACGGATTAACCGGATTTACATTGAACCCTATGGGGAAATTTCCTTCGGGTTACGACCAACTCGGGATACGCCCAGAGTCACGGAACGGATTAAGTTCGTATCCCGAGGTACCACTGTATTTCTGCCTGGCTGTTCCTGGCAAGCCAGCCCTTTTTGCTAGGATTCGGAGAGGTCCATAAGCTGTGTAGCAGTTTAGCCTTTGTGTTTTGTCGTCAGAGTTCGTCATACAAATGCCCAGCCCCCCCTTCTACATACCTGTAACTTTAAACTTCACTGTTACAACTGTAACATGCTCTTCCTTCTTTAAAAAGGAATCACTACTTTCAGAGGAATTGTAGTAATATGATTGTTAAAGAACTTAACTGCTTCTTTGCAGTTTATTCCCAGTGTATTCTTGCAATAAATAGCCATTTTATTTTGCAAATAAAACTGATTACTTTCAAGAAGTTCTTATACAAATACTAAATTTTAAATGAATATGAGATACCTCACAAATAATACTTCAATCACTCAAAATTTATTTACAGTTCAAGACCAAACACAAGAAAAAGAACTCAGAAATACAATAATTATAAAAAGGAATTTTAAGAATTGTGAAAAAAAATCCTAAAACAGTCAACAGCTAACCATTAATAACATGTGGAAGGAACCAGATGGCTTCTAACAGCTATAACTATTGATAGAAATTTTGTAACCTCCTTGGAAGTTTCTAAAGTGTAATGGACTCCCGGTCACAATGGAAGTATCAAGTTGAAGTATCAGGTTCAGTCACTATTGGGTGTACAGTGGACATTTTAATAGCATGTGTGAGGCAGATTCTACCTCCCAAGTCTGAACAAAAGCAAATTCGGCTTTCATATGGGAGACGTATATCTACCAGTGGTTGCCCTCATAGGTAGCACTTCAGTTTGTCCAGGGTAAAGGGATGGGAGACTTTAGCTCTGTTGTTTTGGATGTCTAGATCCCAAATCGTCAGCTTCAGTTCAGCAAGAATTTAATCAAATCCCAAACAGGTCATGCTGAGATGGTAAGACTGCAATATGCCAAATAGTCATTAATTTGTCTTCTTGGGGTAGAAGAGAACCTACCTAGCAAAGTGAGATGGACTAAGGAAGTTCCCCTGACTTCTGTGCCAGGTTGGGGAGTAATGATCAGGTTCTCTTGCAGCATCACAATGTCCCATGTTTTTCCTCGTTTGAGGAGACTTTCTGGAAACCTTAAGGATTCCGGCATTAACACAGGGGATTGGAAACTTTTCCTATTGGAAACAAAATTTGACTTAAAGATTCTTAATGGATCTATGCTAGGGGATCCCACAGGTGAACTCACTTTTTGGGGCTCTAGAGGGGTACCAACCCTAGACCCCATGATAGTTACTAGCACTTTTGCTTCCATTGCAAAGATTTTAGTGTTACCTTTCATCCAGAGAGTGACCACCTTCCGATAGTGGAGTCTTTTGTTTTTGAATCAACTGGTCCAAATTGATTATTACCAGCTTATGATTTAACCCTTACTGACAAGTATCTTAGACCAATCTGGATGAACAGACTGGCTGTGATCTCATCTTAATTTTTTGTTGCCCCTTTGGCTGTTTGAGGCAGTCTATATGTACAACCAGTGATGCCCTTGAAATAGTCTCAGTCTATCAGAGAATCATTAGCCTTGCCCAAAAGCACTTAACAGCCTGTTCAACCCACTTAACCCTTGGTCTAAACCCTGGTTTGACAATGAGTGTAGCACAGCTAAAGCACGGGTAATTCTTGCCTACGAGAATGCCTGTATCTGTAATGACTCCCCTCATATGAAAACTTTTAGTTCCTAAAAAAAAGACACCAAATAAACATTGAGAGCAATAATAATCTAATTCTCCTTGAGTCTTGGACTGGATATTTTGGTCATTTATACACTGCATCTGGAGGTAGTGAATTTCCTGCCCAGTTATTGGATGAACCTCTCCCTGAATGGCCCTCAGCTTCACCCCTAAGGTTCAAAAACAATTTCTCAGTTGGAAAATAGTAATGCTCCTGGTAAATATTTCATCTTACCAGAATTCTTAAAATTAAACTCTATGTGGTAGGTGTCTGTGCTTGCTCCCCTGTTCACAGCCATAAATAACTCCTTATGTATCCTTAAAAATTGGCTTTATTATTATCCCAGTTTACAAGAAAAGTGATAAATGTGGCCCTGCAAATTATTGACCAATTAGCCTTCTATCTGTAATCAGTAAATTATATACTAGATTTCTATATTACAAACTTCTCGATTGGATGTCCTCCAAAAACATTTTAGCCCCAAAGCAAGCCAGCTTCAGGTCTGAACGCTCAACTGTGGATCAGTGTACATCACTTAGCTGAGACACAGTGCATATATTTAAAATTTTCAGAATAATGAGGTAGCACTTGGAGTAGGAGTTTTAAGCTTAAGTTCTGAAACCATGGCTTAAAAGGCAAAAAGCAATAACTTAAAAGGCAAATCTGATTCTTAATTCATTAATTTAGAAGCCGCCTGACTACTAATGACTCCAGGTGGCTTCAGTTAAAAATAATAAGAAAATATAATAACTGACAGTAGAAAAAGAATTCATAAGCATCCCAAAGGCAGATACGTCAACAAACACCCCTTCCAGCAGGGGCTCAGCCGTCAACCTGGGAGAAGAGCCAGGTCCAGCAGCTTCCTGAATGTCGTCAGGGTGGGAGCCATCCGGATCTCTGGGGGATGCCGCTCCAGAGGGGAGGTGCTGTGGCAGAGAAGCTTCCCTGGTCACGAGCAGTGATGGGCATGTGTCGGTATGGCTGTATAACACCTCTGCTTTGCGAGTTGCACTGGTTGCCCGTTTGCTTCTGGACGCAGTTCAAGGTGCTGCTCACTAACTGTGAAGCCCTACACAGCATAGGGCTTAATTACTTGAGGGGCTGCCCAGCCACTTCAGGATTGGTATGCTCCTGGTTTCTTCAGTTGAGCAATGCCATCTGTTAGGGCCCCAGAAGTGTGCCTTCTCTGTCGCAGTGCTTACCCTCTGAAATGAGGTTCTCCCTGAGATTTGAATGGCCCCCACCCTGCTGGAGTTTCAGAGAGGCTTGAAGATGCAGTTGCTTCACTTGATGAGATGCTGCAGGAGAGACTCCTCTCCTGCCCTAGAGACGCACCCGTGAAACCAGGTCTTTCTGGAGCAGGCCAGGAGTAAACGGGCATCAGCCTTGCCTCTGGACAAAGTTCAGAGTGTTTGTGAAACACCCTGAAAAATTGTTGAGAGGGTGAGAATAAAGAGAAATAAAATGGTTTTTATTCACCCATGGCCATGTGTGACAGGAAAATTGCTTTGGCGTTTGTTCAGGTGAGTGAGCAAGCCACAATAGACACCATGCTGACGGAAAGGAGCCTGACTTTCTTGGGTAAATGCCCTGATCTGTTTTGAAGGTGAGATGTTTGTACTTGCCTGCCAAGCAGATGGCCTGGTGATGGTGATATTCACAGTTCTGAAACTTGCTGTTTGTTGCTTATTTTGCTAATACTCCAGTTTTCGGTCAGTTCTGCACTCCAGTCATGTCAGATGGAAGCAAACTTTGTGTTGCTACTTTGGTAGAGGAGCAGAAGCTGATTTCAGAGGGTGCTTTGATTTCTCATTAGCGTCCTTTGGATTTCTGTGCAGATCGCTGACCTTGCAAATGAAGATACCCCTCAACTGTATGTGGCATGCGGAAGGGGGCCACGGTCTTCTCTGAGAGTACTGAGACATGGACTTGAGGTATGAAGCCTCCTGAATGAGTGTAGAGTCCCATCTGAAAGCTTGAACCCAAAGTCGAAAATTGATTCTTTGTTTCAATTTCTGCTGATTGACCAGTGTGCCATGTTTGTTTCCTCCCATCTCTTTAATTTGTTTTTGTTATGTGCTAGGCAGGGACTCAAAATTGTTCTAGGCTGTGAATCTCTGTGAAACATGCTTCTGGTGAACGGTGTTTGGCTACAAGGAAGTATAGTTCTATGCTGAGTCCCTAGCATGTCCAGTTGGTGGGGGGGCAGGAAGGTTGGGATGGCTTTGATAGTTCTCTGCCTGGGATCATGGGGACTTGCTTCCGGTCAAATCAAAGCACCCAAAGGCTTTGTGTCACTATTCCTGTAAAGGAGTAAAACAGCTGAACTTCTTCTTTCTCTTGTAAAGATGTCAGATAAAAATGCACCTTCCCCCTCCCCCACAAAGAACCCCCCCCCAAGATTTTTTAAGGTTTTTTTTTTTAACTTTTCATGTCTCTGAGATGTTGGTGTATAGAAAGGGAGAAGGGCTTGCATAAGCCTTGATTCTGTTATTGATTCTTGCTATTAATCTCTAAGGCTGCTTCATTTTCATAAATCTTCTGCATGTAAGCTACTGCTTTGTCCCTTGCTAGGTGTCTGAAATGGCGGTCTCGGAGTTGCCTGGTAATCCTAATGCCGTGTGGACAGTGAGGAGACACATTGAAGGTAGGAAGAGTTCTCAGGTGTGGAGAGAGCTGGGAAAGAGCATGGGTCAGGTTGAGGCTTCTGGGCATAGCTGCTCACCCCACAGCCGTTGGATCTAAGCCAACTGCTGGGTAGCCTCAGTGTCAGAATGTCCTAATGCTAGATGCAGCTCCCAAAGCACAGCTTGCAGCTTTTGAGTAATCTGTGACTGTTAGATGCTTGACCGTTCTTCTGATATGTGGATCCTAAAGTGTCCATGTCCTGGGCAGTTGGGATTTTTTCAGGGCCATCTTAGCAGTCACTCACCTCCCTCCTCAGCCGCTTCTGTCATTCCCTGCTCTCTCTAGCACTCGCATTGGACCAATTCACAAAGTTCCTTTAGCCCATTTAGCACAGTTGGGGTCCTTGCTCTGCTTTTCCATCACCCAGTTCCCAAAGGTTGTTTTAAAGGCCATGGAAGTGGACTACATTGTGAACATCTTGGGAGGTGTTCTTGCTGCAGTACTAGTCCAGGAAAAGAGACATTAGTTATAGTGTCTTGGCTTATGATGATGGCTTTCAGTAGTATGGATAGGATTCTTGGAAAGATGAGATTTGCTCTGCCTTGCTGTAGTAGTCAGGGTAGGGATTACAGGTGGTCCTCACTTAACCACTGTTTAACAATGGTTACAGTGGCCTGGGAGAAAAGTACTTTACAACCTGTAATCGCACTTATGATTGTCGCAAAGCATCATGCCACCCCTGTAGTCATGTGATCGCGATTTGTGACCTTTTTTACAATGGTCGCTAAGTGAATCACATGATTGTTAAGTGAATTCCAGCAAAAAAGTCCATTGGAGAAACTGGATTTGCTTAAGGACAATGTGATTTGCTTAATGACCGTTGTAAAAATGGTTGTAAAGTTGGGTCCAGTCATGTGGTGACTCACTTAACAACTATCCCGCTTAACCACAATAGGGACTGGAAAATAGATTGTTAAGCAGGATGGTTGTTAAGCAAGGACTACCTGTAGATGAATTCCATTGTGGTTTGCAAGAAGTATTATTGACATTTTAAAAAACAAGTCTATCTTACTGAATAATTTCTGACCAATCATTTCAGTTTTGGACAAAACAGAGCTGGTGGTGACTTCCCAGCTTTAAGTGTTTGAAATGGATTCAGATAATTTACCTCTTCTAATCTGGTTCCAGATCTAGCTTTATTCATCTGGGAGGATGATCAGTGCCAGGAACTAGAACGGTGCTGGCCAGGCTGGTTCACCTTGTTGGAGGAGCAGTTCTAGAAAATGTTTTGGGTGGCTCATGTTACATACTGTGACTAGCTGTGTGTAAAACTTTTCATCTCAAAGCATTCTGTATACCTCTAGTTGTGACCATAATATACCTCAGAACTTCATCTTGTGCCCTCTTGTTATTTAAAATGAAGCTGCTGGGGGAGGTTGCATGATGGGACTGGAAAACTGATAAAGTTTTCCTGATAAAGTATCCTGATAAAGTTCCTCCTGTTGCAATCCAAGGAGGTTGTTTAATGGTACATTAGCATCTGGTGTCCAGTCAAACAAAACTGAAGCTCAGTTCAAAGAAGCCAGGAGTGGTCCTGGTTGGTTGCAAGTTAGATCAGATGATAGGAGATTACAGTACATGGGATGGTTATGTTCCCCCTAAAATTTGAGTTTGGGTGACTTCCTAGAATCTGAATGTCCAAGATTGGGGAATGGCCAGCATCCATTTTCACAGCCAGTGAAAGATGAAGGTGCCAGATTTGACCACAGTGACACAGGCCTTAATTATATCCTGTTTGGATTGTAGCATGTTTATATGGGGCTCTGTATGAAAGCATTTGGAGCCTTAAGCTATGCCAGAATACTGCAGTGGGATTGTTGATTGGGGATGTTATGAGGAACACACGTCTCCCTTGAAACAGCAAAGAGCTGGCTGTGTGCCCAAAGAATGTGCAGTTCTGGACCAGGTTGGGATGGCTGTGCTGATCCTTTGTTCTGTCCTGCTGCCTGCGGATTCTGTTTGGTGGGTTTCTTGTGAGAGTAACTGGCTGTTAAGGGAGGTCCGGCTAACTCAGAGAGGCGTTATGTTTCAAATAGTTTAGTTTAAGATGGCATCAGACATAGTTGATAGTGATTCTGCTGGTGGAAAGTTGTTTTTCTTGTGTATGCCTGGATGTTTTTGCAGAGCCATATGTGCAAGTAATAGAACTAGGTGCGTAGAAAAACTTTGAGAGGTTTGGGGGTTGTTGGATGGTATTTAGTGTGGATAGGTGGCATATGAGCAACACGTACAGGGGGAAAAGCTACAGCTCATACTGGCCTGTCCCAGCAAGGGGTTGGGCTGGTCTGCTGCTCTTACTGCCATTGTCACTGCTCTCAGGAAATGTTAGCAGGTGTGGAAGGTGGTGAGCTTCATCGCTTGTGCCTTCTAGATCAGTTGTGGGAGAGCCATGGAGGGACAGCGTGGTGCCCGCCATTTCAGACCAAGCAGTTGCAGGAGCAAGTTGCTGCAAAACTTTACTGGTTAGAAAGTACATTTGCTCTTTCTCACATACACACACACGCATCCCTACTTAGCGTCTTTCTCAACTAGGCTGCCAGGCACTAGCTAGAGCCTAGAGGGATGGAAGCCGCCAAGTCTGGATCCCCAACAACTCGAGTGGGTGGGCTTCAGGACCCCTTTTACCCCCAAAAGTTCTTGCTTTGTTGATTCATGGGATTGGGTTTTTTCCCCATGTGCTCAGGCCCAACTTCCTTTGCCTGGTTCAGGTGGCATTTGTCCTCAACGACTTGTTTCCTTCTTATCTACCTCCCCAAAGGGATCTTTTAGACAAGATTCCCGGCTTTTGTCCTCTCCCTAACCCTAATCTGCCTGCTTCATCTTTTGGTTATGGCAGAGTGGGTGAGACTGAGTGCTGGTACAAGCTCATATTGAGCCTATTCAGTGGCAATGAAAGTGACAAAATGTTAGTTCTTCTCCATCGCTTATTGCATCCATGGATTCCTGCCTGGTGGCACTCTTTGTAGTAACTCAGACTGGGCATGACGAGATGCCTAGAGTCTGACTGGATTGGTTTGCAGATTTCCTTGGGGATAAAGCAGCTTCTATCTGCTCTAATTTAGGTGCCAGTTGAGTGGAGCCAAAGGCCATGATTGAGGCAGCACCGTGCATTTCTGCCTGGGATTCTTTTTTGCTCTTGGAACCTGAGGAGGTGGATGGCATCGTCTGTAGCATGATCACTGCCACTGAGTTAGAGCCATGCCCCTCCAGGCTTCTTTGGGCCGCTGGGGTTGAAAAGTGGCAAATCCCTTTTGAGGGCAGATGTTGTGCCACCAGCATTGAAAGAGGAAGTGCTGCACCTTGATTGACAACTTTGGGCCTATGAAACTGGCGGAGGAGGTCAATTACAGGAGAACTTAAATGGAACTGGATCCATTCTAATGAGATTTTGGACCTGGTCATGGAATTGAAAGAGCTTTCATCTCCTTAGTAGATCATGTATGCTGGGATTTGATTGGTATGAGTGTTCCCCTCATGTTCTTATCAGACCTCCCCGTGGCATTTGATACCATTAACTCTGAAACACCCGTAAGGATTGGGAATGGGAGCCACTGCTCCACTTTTACTGGAGAGGGCAGTTCCAGTCAGTAATCATGAGGTATAAATGTAGGGAGCTACATTTGGCAGGCCCCAGGCAGCAGGCCTTTTCTGCTGTGGCACCTGCGCTGTGGAATCTTCTCCCCCTTGAGGTGAGACTGGCCTCGTCATTGTTGAGCTTCCAGAGGTCCCTTAAGACTTGCTTATGCCAGCAGGCCTGGGGACCCCAAGGGACGGGGAAATTTATGAGGTGGCTCCCTTACTTTTAACTTCCTTTTATTCTCTGTTTTATTTTGTTTTTTATTTTTTAATGTATTGTATGCCACCCAGAATCTCCTGTGGTGAGATGGGTAGCTATATAAATTGGTTTACTATTACTACTACTGCTACTACTACTACTAAATGATCAAGCCTTTAGCTGCTCCAGTGTGGGTTGCAGTGCCTTTGGGCTTAGACCTCTCCCTCATTGTATTTAACACGTAAATGAAGTTGCTGGAGGAGGTCACCCATTGGTTCAGGGTGAGATGTCATCAGTATGCTGATACTCAGCTGTACTTTGCCAAACCAGGCCAAATTGGAGATGCTGCAGTGTCTTGAATCTGTGTCTGGAGGCTATGAGGTCTGGATGGGGAGACTAAAGTGGAGCAGGACTGAGTTGCTATGTCTGTAAACATCAGGGTCATCTGTTGCTCTTGATGGGGGCACACTTTTCTGGAAGGAGTTGGTCTGTGACTTGTGGTTCCTTCTCAAGCAGCAGATAGAAGTCATAGCCAGTAGGAGCCCTGGCCAGATTGGGCTGGTGCTCCACTTGTTTCCCTACAACGATGTGACTTGATCACTTTGCAAGTGGACTATTGGAACACTTTGATATGGTGTTGCCTTTGAAATTGACTCAGAAGCTACAAGTGGTGCAAAAATGCAGTGCTCAGATTATTAGTTAGGAAGACCTGTTATTGCAGAATCACACTATTTTGAGGTTACCACATTGGCTGCCAAATGTGCTTCCAGGCTGAATTCAAACAGATGGTTATCATCTATAAAAGATTTAAATATTGAGGGAAGCCTGGTAAAGATCCTGCTGCTACCAGAAGTGAAGAGGGCCTGGCCTAGTAAGAAAGACATCTCAGTGGTAGCCCCCTCATTGTGGAACACTTTACTTTCAGAAGTGTGATCAACTCTTATCCTTCCTTTTGCATTTAGGAAGACCCTTACAACTATCCTGTTTCAGCACGTCTTTAGACTCTAGATTATTAGCGGGATGCCAACTTTAATGATTATTTTATGATGCATTGTTTTCATTTCAGAGATACATTTTAGTTTAGTTTGGTTTGATTGTATATATGGCTCAGAATTGGTCAGATTAGAGCAGTTTATAAATGATGGTAAATCAACAAAAAATTTTTTTATTTGAACACAGTTTTT